TTTCTGGTGGTTCCTTGCCATACATTAACACATTGATGTCTGTTCTGCTATGGATCTTATGATTTGAATTAAAGTAATAATTATATATATATATATATATATATATATATACTCCACACTGACTTCCTGATAGTTTTTTACTGTTCATCACTATGTCGTTACATGTATACACTTTTAGTATGGCTAATATATCATCAAATTGGGGCTTTAAACAACAATGACATCACAAACTGTCTTCATATTACAATGACATCACAAACTGTCTTCATATTACAATGACATCACAAACTGTCTTCATATTACAATGACATCACAAACTGACTTCATATTACAATGACATCACAAACTGGATTCATATAATTATGACATCACAAACTGTCTTTATATGGCAATGATATAAAACTCACACATGGCTATTACATCATCAAAATGTGGCTTTACATGACAATGACATCATAAACTGCGGCATGCATTATTATGGCAATGACGACATAAACTGTGGCTTCATAGGGCAATGACATCATTAAGGCGCCATGCTTCTAATAAATGTTGACAGTTGGTGAATCATAAAGATTACTAGAGCAAGACAACAAATGAGTGGACACAAACATACACAATACACTATTTCATTCCTCATAAAGTAAGTTATTCCAAAGTGTCAGTCCTCTGACCCCTACTTCTGAAACCATGAGGGTCGAACAAAGGTTAAACCACCGCTATAGTTTGCAGCGTATTTTCTCACCAAGCGCTTGAAATAACTCTTATTCCATGGCAACCTCACCTGATTTCAAAAAGAATCTTCCAGGACTTTGATTTTCTGTGGCTCTGACAACTGCCTACATAAAGCTCTGGTTTCGGCAGGAAATCCCTTTCATTCCATGCACACATGTTTGAAATTTGTCTTCTAGATAATTTGAATTATTGCACGTACATACATTTGTAATACAATTTCAAAACATGATTAATTATTATCTTATACTGCAAAATCTTTATTATAGCTTGAATTAATTTTTGCTGAAAAGACATTTCATCAGTTTTGCATAAATAGTACTTTTACTGATTTTTGATGAGTTGATGAATGACAAATATAAAAAAAAAAATATTCCATTAGATTTTAATGTCCCAGATTCTACCTTTAAGAGAAAATGAATTCCAAGTGAAAGAGGATTGAAAACATGTTCACTATGTATTAACTGTGGTGTACTAGTCAGCTAAGTCTTGTGATATATACGGTAGCGAGAGCCGCATTTGAAGCAGGATGTGTTCACTGATTTGAAACACCTGGTATCATTTTGAGTATGTATATACATGTACATGTATTTCTATTTGCACTGTGAAATAGAGTATGAGCAGCAAAAATCGTAAACCAATTAAATGACATTTTTTGTGATTTTAGTGAAATAAGTAAAAATGTTACTTTTGTACAATTTTAAATTCAGAAAATTAATTGTGGTACAAATTTATCCATTATAAGTACATCTGTTATAAGAAAATAGACAGCACTATACACTAAATAATATAGCAAGATATTCCGGTGTGTGCCATATATGTATATTATAATATATACCCTATCAGGTTATTCCATTATCTGACTCAATTCTTAGAAGAAGACAATGCAAATATACTCAATTATCTTTCTTGTTGTTTCATGTTCTATAAGCATAAACTGAGCAATGACATAAAAATAAATTGGCAGAAAACTGCTAGTCATACATTGTAATTGTATAAATGGTATGATAGTAGAAATATGCTCGAACACATTTAATTCATGATACTTATAGATTATATTAATTTGAAATGAATTGGTTTCTGTAAGTGTATATTACTCTCAATCTTTTCAGCATCACTTACAGCAGAGAATGGAATGACTGAATAAAAATAGTATACTTGTGACATTCCAGCATAACAGTATGGCAGTCACATAACACACACACTCACACCACATGCTGAGTTTCCTTTATAATGTCATACATTTGAAGACTCCAGTAGATGTGTATGTCTTGGGTCAATATCTTCCCTCAGTCGAGGAGTTTTAAGACTGGTTCCCCATGTGGTAAATTTAATACCGGTACATCATATGGTCAACAATTTTTTTTGTCCATCACTACTGTGAAAGCAGCTACCATTTGATATTTGTAATCCTAGCAGTACTGATATTTTTAAATAAAATTAAAAAAAACTTACCTTTTTACTAAACATTACCTAATGTGATTTCAAAATTTTTAACATTTTTTGTACAATAAGATGTACACCTGCATGCATATGTGATGCATTCTTGTAAAGACATTTTTAATAATAATTTAATGTTCAATAATTGTATATGAAAGGCTACTGAGATATGAACACAGGAAATGAGGATTTTTAACTGAATTCCCTGCAAGAAATCAGCTTACTGGTAGATTACATTATTTGATGTCAAGTACAAAATAACTTGAACATTTTTTTTAACTGCATGTTCTATTTAGGATCCAGTAAAGTCTGTGTTTTACAATATGTTGCAGCACAACAGAAATACCATCAGCAAAATAAACCATTGTATGCCTTAGCGAAACTATGATAACGATTTTAGTATAATACACCACATCACCAATCTAAATCCACAATATTACATGGTTAACACTTGATATCAGTTGAGGAAGAGGTGATTTATACCAGTGACATGTTGCATCACATGTTATTTAATATCTACTCACCTTAAGTTGAATATTAATTACTTATAAGGTCACCTATCTCAATCAGCTCTATGAATGAATGCATTATATCAGGTGATAACACATCTAACACATTACTACCTATCACTACTTTCAAGTATCAAAAGACAAAAAATGTAATTTTATGGAACCATGATAAAAAATTAAATGTTAATTTATGCTGATGAGCATGATGTCTCTGTGGACATGCACATGATGTTATGGATGCTGAGTGCTACAATTTTTTTTATCAATAATAATATGCCATTGCACTATTGGAGTAAATATTGATATCCAGTATAAAATGGTTGCATTTATTCTCTCAATTACTGTTCAAACTCGCATAAAATAGTGATATTTTATGCAAATATTGTGAAATTTATTCTACTACTGTGGAATACTTTATTTTCGCTGGAATTAATTTTCACTGAAAAGGCTTTTTGGGCATTTTGTATGGAATTTATTTTCACTGATTTTTGATGAGTTTAATGTAAAATATAGGAGAAAAAGTATATTCGCTGGATTTTATTTTCACGGAATCATCCCTTCAGCGAAAATAGCGAAAATAAATTCCAAGCGATAATAAAGTATTCTACAGTATATTAGATAGTGATATTTTACATTAAATGAAACAACTGTAAATGAGATATTCATGTGATAAATTACAAATTTTTTTACAAAATTGTTGGAAAGATAATTAACCTTACTGTAAATGCATTAATTATTCACTGGGTTATAATTTTACTATTTTCACTGATAAGTAAAATCTGCTGAATTAAATCTACGTAAACATGTCAAAAAACAATAAAAAGTCAGTGTTTCTTTGACAAATTGTGAAATTAAAACACAGTGAATATTCTCAAAACATCAAAATAGTGAAATTAAATGAAAAATTGTATAAATGGTTTTACAGTATCAGTGTTTAAAATTACTGCCTGTCTGAGAAGTGTGACTTTTCAAGTGGCTGGTAAAAATTAAAACTTACATGCCCAGTAGTACTTAGGTAACATTTATTCATGGTCTGCCTGAATGCAAATTTTGGAAATGCTACTCTGCTGTGAAATCTAATACAAAGTTGTGAAATAAAGAACAGAACATTTTAAAATGAGAAATTTGAAATAAATTATTCTTTTGAGTGTAGGAAGAATCTGAGTGTTTGTGATGCTTACTTGAATGGTAACGTAATCTCCAATGAAGGGCTGGTAAGCTGAGTAATCTCAAATTCTGATTTTATAACTCATGAATTCAGAAGTTGAATCACTATTAATATGATACATATTAATTGTTACTAGCCATAGTTAGGATTCCATGGGGTTGCTTTATGTCTGAGTATCCAACTGTCATGGAGCACTATCCTAATAGTACTAATATTACATCACACACAGCTAGCAGCATACAGTTAATCATATGTGAATGCAATCATGAAACTAAAAATAGAATAACCTTTCTTGGAAGTTTAGATGCCAATATGCAAATTCTAGATACCAACTACTAGTAACTGCCAAAGACTTTGAAAGAAAGCTTGTACTGTATACTGGTATACACATTATGTAACAGTGATTGAAGGGAGTTTATTCACAAGCAACCTTAACTTTTTTTCTCATCACTTGGATTTAACCATCTTATTTGCTCTATCAGAAGCACTCCAATAGAAAGAAATGTAAACCAACAGACAGTTGCATGTATTGTAAACTGAATCACTGAAAAATAAATTATTTTGACCATAGACATAACTCTGTAATTTTGTAAGAGTATGCTGTACAACAAAAGCAAATACAGTATAAGTTTTCAAGTCTTGACACATACCATGGGAGTACGATAATAATTATAAATTCGGCATCACTATGGGAACAAAAATGTATTTCTAGCAGTATGCTATTACCATATGCAAGTGAACAACAATTCACTGCGTTTTTTTTCGTTTGGTAATTGTGGCTGAATAAATGACACTTGAACGAAAGGAACATGTAAATCAAAACATTATCATAGCTCCTGGAAATTATTACAAATTATAATTCGGTTCATAGAAAAAGCCCAGTTGGACGAATACAGTCTGTGATCCTGGATGCTCTGCATTAGTATACACGGATTCAAAAATATGAAAAATTGGCAAAAATGTTGCTCAAAAGTTGTTTCTAGAATATTTTTTACTTCCATATAATAAATGCTAATATTAGTTAGCACAGCGGCATGGTAAAGTAGAGATTGTCAAAATAAACGTATGTTGCAAAAATTAGCACTACTTTATAAGCACTTTTGTGGGAATTAAAATTCAAAAATGAAACAGTAAATCACTGATAAACAACATACCCTTTGGTGTGATTTGGTATAGAACCATATCCATGTAATAGAGGGGTAGAATCCATTAAACTGGCATGTTCACGAACTTTAATATCTTCATCTAGAGAAGCCATATCAACACTCAATTCTTCACCTGATTTAGTGCTAAGGGTTTCCCTCATAATCTCCTACAATCAATTTAAGTACACCAGTTGATTTCTGTAACAGATAAACATTAATCAAACTTTAGTTCATGTGCAGTGAGAAATAAGACAGGTTAAAATCTGAAGTGTGGACAGGACTCTACCACATGAAATTTTCTACAATATCAACCATTACTTTGCAGGAAAAGGATTGTGAAAACACATGTTACTGGGTAAAGCCAAATATAAACAGCTCCACCCTGCTACATTAAGACCAAACATAAACAAACTCATGATTTAATACACTGCCACCCAAAACAGATTTTTGGTGTGTATTTTTTTCTACAAATTATTCTGTATTGCCACATTTTACTTACTTTTTAATATTTTACAATGATATCCTAGAATTTGCCAATTCAGTGGAACTGTGGACTTTTTATTGATTTGTAAGGGTAAAACATTAGAAACAAACAAGAGTCCCTCTATCCCCAGCCTGAAATCAGCTGGATTAGTGGAACAAAGCTTGTGATATCAATAAATAAGTGTGATTACTTTGTGGGTTACAGCATCATGGTTACAGTATATGGTCACAGAGCTTTGGAAGAGATTATGTTTTTGGCAAGAATGAAACCCATTTTATGAATAAGTTTAAATTACATTTTGACAGTACATATTGTTATTCTGCTAATGTTTTTATTTTTAATACGTTATGACATAAATAGACATATTTACCTCTAAGACAAAATGGAAATGAATGCAAGAAAAAAAAACCACCCAACTTCTGAAATGACTTCATGGAAACACAAGTACAGTACAGTCATAACGAAACAGAAACAAGTCAAACTGAAAGTATTAGCCGTACCACTTGATAACACACTTGTGTCAATGTATATTTGACACAAAAACAACAGAAAAAAATGTCCCCCCCCCCCACCTGTGTGGAATGGATTGAACACTTATTTCAGCTTACCTATACCATTCAAAGTGACACCATTGTTAGGTATGGTTGAAAGGTGGGCAGTCGATTCATCCCAAGTCTATTCATCCCACAGGTTGATTCTTCCTAAAGTCGATTTGTCCCACAAGTTAATTTGATTTATTAGAATGGCCAGATACTAACTCTGAACAACAAAACACTATCAAATCGTGTTCACACACTCATCGTGCATACAACCCGAAGACTGCACCCCATCATTTATTACTGTAAAACATGTCCTTTTCACGAGCATGTCTTTTTAGCAAATTTAGCGAGAGAACTGATTCGCTAATGACTTTATTATAAATTCAAAATGGCCAAGGGTTGGCAGTACAGTAATATACAGTAATCCGGAACATAAAAATCTAGGACGTTTCATAATTACACTCATTACGTCATTTTAACACAATTCGCTAAAATTGCATGTCGCTTTTCCAAAATGTTTTACAGTATATCACACTTTGCAATACGTTAATCAGTCAATCGTCAAATCAAGTAATTCCCATTTCAAGATTAGAGTGTAATTAATTAAATCACCTGTGCGCATGCGGGAATATAGTCCCAAGCAACGATAACACACGCTAAAAACGCAAAGGCTCATTGGTAGACGCTTGTTTGTAAACAATGACACGCTGTGGCCATCTGACACATGCGCAGGTGACGACTCCCCCTCTTTAATGTTCTGAAAAATTGTGTTTCCACAATTCCTGTTCACCATTCCAACCAATCGAAATGTTGACATATACTAGTATACATATTCCTTCATTACAGCACACAATTCTATGTTAGTCCTGGGTAGTCATATTTCATGGTATATAGCAGGCATATGATTAAATATAGTAAACATAGTTGGCCGAAACAGAAATCGGCAAGACCAAGCATACACATGTATGTCAAAATTGACAACTGACACTTGCACACAAACATAGAAATTGACATCATCGATCACAAGGACATAAAGCTGACCAAAGGCAATGGGACAAAAACGATTTGGGACAAATCAACTTGTAGGGCGAATTGGGATGAATTGACTGAGAAACGGTTGAAAATCAGGCTTTTAAGGGGTGGACCATTAGAAACACTGGAGGTGGTAGAACTAAAAAAAATTGCACAGAAAAAATCCTACAAGGGTCAATAACAGAAATACCCGTACACCTACTTCTTATTGGGAACACACACACACACACACATACAAACAGGAAAAAATACAGCGAATTCACCATTGAAGAACAAAGACTTAGTGGAGGAAATGTGCATACTTTCTGCCAGTGGTCACCTCCAATATTGATAAAACAGATATTTCAAGGGTCATGACATTTTGAGAAAAACAACACAGCCCAACATAAAAGTCTACTTCCAAACACAAACCCACCCACCCTTCAACATTTTGATTCACCTATCTATCATAACCCCCCTAAATACTACCCAACCCGCTTTTGTGACCATGTCAGACCACATTCCTTTGAACTCATCTGCTGAGATTTACACAAGATTATAACTTTTTTTGAAAACATCATAACTACAAATCAATTTGGATTTGATGCAAATCAAATAATTGCTCAGAAAAAATCGACATCGATTAAATTGAAGTCAACATTACGTCACTCACATGTCGTTACAGGTCTGTTCAGGCAAGTCTAAAAATGCCGAGGTTTATACACTGTTTATAGCAGTCGGCGATTGTGCTGTGACGTTTGCTGTGTGAAAAATGTTGATACTATCAATGCAAACCTCGTGACAATTCGTCAAATATTAACCACCGAAACTAAAACATAAAAGTAGAACACCGGTTCGAGTTGAATGACCTACCCTAGCAATATGTATTGGAAGACGTGACCACAATGAACAGGGTCCCCGTGATTTGCGAGACTTAAAAACGTCTCACACCAAGAAAATCGCACCACTTACGGCGGTTAGAATGATATACCCCCAAACCAGTTTCATGTAACACTCACCAGTTTATCACTAGAAACCAAAATCTGTATATCGCCACCGTGAAAAATATAAGAACAACCAACGAAAAAACTAGAAGCAGTAGGACGCCATGATCGCTTGAAATGGGGTCAATGGGCCAATCTATTATTAGATAGGGGAGTAAGGTCTTCGTTATTATATGTCGAGACTGCAACTGAATGCCTGGGTGACCAGGTACCGGCGAGACGAGTAAAGCAGGGGAAAGGTCACTGAGTTTGTTCGGGTAGATTATTATACTGGCAACCGCATTTTATAATTTTAGTGCGATATCACGGCTCGTAGTGGCTCACTTTATTAAATATGATATTATTATTATGTTTTTTTATTTCATAAAAAATGAGAAGAATTGCTTCACATTTGACATATGTTATATTCCTAAGAAATGTGTATTCCAACTCTGTTATGTGATGAAAATGATTAATATTAATAAAATAATAATAATGGAACGATGCACGCAGACATTTATAATTGGTGAGGAATGTATATTCAAAGTGTCACGTGACAGACAAAAACGGCGTCTGTACGTGCTTGGGCACAGGGTCGGATACTTGCATGTATTGCAGCACGTTTAACTTTAGTTAAAGCCCGGGCTCAAATTGAATGGTTGTAATTTATTAGAAGTAATATAACAATCTCGACATCCCGTGTCAAGCATACAATATTGGAGTATAAGCATTATAAACTGATACTCTGACTGTTCCAGGGACTGTGATATGATTAAAAATATCAGACCACTCGGAAATTTTAATAGACAGTTTTTGCGACAGACGTTCGAGTCGCGTCTTTCACACAATAGATTTCTAGACGTTCCGGCCCTGGTCGTTTCCGGTCCTGGTAATTACAAGACGTTACGGTCCAAAAACAGGTTGATTTTTACGGCCCTGGTATGAATTATATTTGGCATGTGTTCATATCTAGTGCTAATATATTAAATACACAACTAATGTATGACTTTATTAACCAAAACTTATTTTTCGTCTTTTGAAAGACATTTTTCAGAGTTCAACAAACTAACCCTTTCATTTTAGCACGATGCACGCCTTCCGCTCTGGTGGCACGGTGTCAAGCACACACCTCAGACAACCAATAAGGTCTGAGTACACGCACACTATTTATTGTTCATAACAATGCTCACTTATGAATACGAGCGTCAGTCAAGTTTTGTTTCACTTAAACGTTTATGTGTGAACCCTATGTGTAAATTGTGTAAATTGTGTGAACTATGCTATGTGTGAATATACCATTAGGCCCAAAAGAATACGTTTCTTAAAGAGGAACCTTCCAAGCCGAGGGATTGCACCAAAGAATCATGGGCCACTATTGTTTATGTTATTTACAAAGTTAATCTATATTTCGTTATCCATTGTAATTTCAATCCAGAAAGTAAGTTTGTTGTGAGATTAGGCTTAACTGCAAGTTTAAAATAAAACATCTTTAAAAACGACGAATAGTTGTCGAGAGGAAATCGATTTTTTTTTTAGTATTATTTACTAAGTATTTATACAGGGGCGCATAGGGGCTCGCCCCTCAAAAAAAATTTGGGGCGTAGCCCTCTAAAATCAAGCTGAAACCGTTTGTGTCAGCAAAACGTGCCCTTCAAATGCAGGAAATAGCGTTTCGGAGGGTCTAAATTGTTAAGGGAGTGCGTGTCCCGAACCCCCTAGTAAAGTCACACCTTCGGCGCGAGGTCGGTGTGCGGATCTCGCCCCTTGCAAAATTCCGTGCCGCCGTCTCTGCACCGGTATCGAAGGAGTCACCGGTAGTAATTAATGCATGTCGCGTCCAGGCCAAAACTCCTACTCGTAATTTCTTTAGTAGAGCGCATTGGATTGTGGAAAATCAATGTTTATCGACGCAAAAGTCACACATGCGCGACGACCACCGCCCTTTAAAATGCATGTCTTTTCAACTGTTTTATGGAAAATAATAAAACGTAAATTAGAATGAGTGAAGAAATCGGACACAATTACCATTTTTTGTGGTTCTCACAGTTAGACAGCTTGCAGCCAAAAACAATTAAAAAAAAATTAAAAACAATCTTGTCAGTGAAATTAATGGAAAGTCGAACAATATAAGCATACAATTAAAAAAACCCACTAACGTATATCCTGAAAACTGGACAACCAACCTGAGCCCAAACGCACTCTACAGTTTTCTATCCCACAATCCTTTGGAAAATCCAATATGGAGTTAACACGTTTTTTCCCATAGAAGACGATGTCAAGTTACTGCGCCGCCAGCGTTCGAATCAGACTCTGAATTCTCCCCAATGTATCGAATGTATCGACGAGGGCACAATTTACTCGTACGCCACCAACGTTATATCTTGCTCGCATATACTTGCTCGCATACATATATGGTTAATATTTAACAAACAAATTGAACCTGGAAGTAAGAGAGTCCTAACACGAGATTACCCGACTGTTTATCCCTCTCCCGGGATACCCGCCTACGGCGTAACGAAATGTCAGGCTAGTCTGCCTTGTATTCTTGCCCGATGAAGTACAAACTACAGGAAAAGCTTCGTGTTTCAGAGCAAGCTTTATCGTCGATTTCGTTCATGAACAGAAAATATGAAAATCTATCGGCGAATTCTGAGAGTGTTACTAGTGATTGGCGTGTCAATTATTGTAAGTATGCCTTCAACAATACTACATGTAAATGATTCGTCTGGGTAACCAACATGTAAACTGTATGGGAATTGTTAATAAGATGAAAGTAGGGAGGTACTGTAACCGAATCATCCAAGGGCAAACGTCTATAAGTCAACATGCTCCAAATGTAACCGTGGGCGAGGTTGAACATAAACACAGGTGATCGCTCTGATGAGAGCATGACTAAAATAGGGAGGTCATCGCCACTGGCCAATTTTCATTCATCAACGAATGCGATCACACAAACCTGTCGTATTTGTACGTGACATATGTACTGTGCATCATTCGGTTATAAATCATAACCTGCGTCAACAAATCACGGACAGTTATGTTAACTGACGCAACAATCATTTATAATAACTAAATACTACACCGTTCATATTATATTTAAATAACGATACATTCAGGTTGACACCGAGACGGTCATTGCGACCCTTGGACTTTGACTTTGGTCATATTACGATGTACGAAATACGCAGGTTAACGCAGAACCTTGTACGATGTAGTGATTTCCATGCTTATTGAGTTGTAATACTAGTATTCGATTGCGCTCGTCGAGAAAGTCGAAGAGGTGGGTCGTATAATGGATGCCATTGGCTGTATATATCATGCGGCGTCATTAATAAGTAATTAGTGGAGCAAAACAAAGACGGTGTCAAGTATGAACCAGTCTGTATGTCTACAACATATTAATACTAGTATATAGAATCATTGCATATACAGTACTGTGAAGTGTTTTGTTTGTTTCTACTATATTCGCTGAAGGGACGATTCAACGAAAATAAAATCTATTAAAAATCATCGAAATCATCAAAAATCAGTGAAAATAAATTTTATACAAAACAACTACAATGTCTTTTTAAAAAGGAAAGTCAAGGCTAACAACATAATACTCCCAGATAAAAGAGCTCGGCAAATGTAAGAACATGCAATTTACAGTTTTTTATATCACTTTTCATTCTCTAGATATTCAACTTTTCATCAATTTATGTAGTCCGCCATCTCGACCCTTCAGCAAAGTATTATGGGTAAAGTATGACATCATAGAATATGTTGTCAGAAATTGAGAAAATGATTTCAACTATAACTTCAAAAGTTGAATTTCAAATTGGCTGAAAGTTTAGAACATGGTAGCATTATGTACTGGTGCCAAACTTGCTTCTAAAATAACTGTCATAGAAACTGAACTAAAAATATTTATTTTTATGTATTTTTTTTACCAAATGCTCGAATTTCCTTATATTGTATACAATTTACCGGTGTGAGTAGGTTATATAGGTGACATATTACCTGTTGACCACTAAATTTGAACTAATTAGCATCAATATTTCTCGTCTCAATATTTTCTCAATTTCTGACAACAGATTCTATGATGTCATACCTTACCTTTTGCTTGAGAATCAAGATGGCTGACTAGATAATGAAAAGAGAGAATGAAAAGTGATATAAAAATACTGTAACTTGCATTCCCCTACATTTGTGGAGCTTTTTCTTGAGGGGTCATTATGTTGTGTGGCTTGATGTTTCCTTTAAAAACAAACTAGTTTACAGTATATATAATTCAACGACATTCCTTAATATGATGGTGTCAGCTACCATGAGTGATTTACCACTGAAAGCAAGAATTAGTGCTATTCTGGCGGTAAGCACACTAGTGTTTGATGACGTCAACCTAATATATTTATCACATGCATATTTCCAAAGACCGAAAAAGTGAAACGAAAGCGAAAGTCATCGCGCGAGCATAGTGTAATGAATTCTTTGCGTGCATTGTGTGATGATTCTACTCATTCGTGGCATTTGATCCAATTAGCTTTTTCAATTTCAAACGCCTTTTTCAATAGCTGAGTAATAATTCTGCAAATAAACATATGAGCTAATGTGAACTTTTTGTTACCACATTGTATAGTTTGCGGGCAGTATAAACCCAGAATATCCGAACAACCATCTGGTACAATACAAACACGCTCTGCAGTGTGTTTTCTGAAATGTGACGTTTACATTTTATAATCTTAGGTAAGAGAACTATCTTTCAGCCTGACAACAGTTCGAAGACGATCGCGGCCAACAGAGGCTGACAACTTAAATCCAAGTGAACCACGAAGTGCAACCGAAAGAACGCCCTCACTGGCCAAAATATCTAACGCGTTTCATCCAAACATTTCCGACGTTTCAGTAACTTTCTCTCCGAGTAGTGAAGCACTCGGGAACAATATTAAGCAATATGAAGATTTCACTGATCCGAATATCACTAAATTCGATTTATTGGAAAAAGAAGAAGTACATGAAGGAACGGTGTTTCTGATAAAAGTAGTGACGTATAACATGAAAGGCGAACTTCGAACAACTGGCGGCGATTTCTGGCTTGCTGTTATGCGCAATGTGGAACTTAAAACTAGTACAGTTGGACGTGTGGTTGATCACAATAATGGGACGTATACCGTCCATTTCTATGCTGCCTGGCCAGGAATTGCTGAAATCGACATCACATTGGTGTACACCAGTCTAACTGTGAGATGGCTTTACCATCGGTGGCAGCGGTGGGATCGTATCACGTGGAAGGGACATTTTGAGGAAACAAATAACAATTACACATACAGTCGATGTTTTGCAAAAAGAGTGAAAGAACAAGGTTTGGAGAACACGGAAGATGAATGTGTTTACACATACGAACACGCTTTAGGGGAAAACGGTCTTTATTTGCGATAAATTGTCTTGGTTGCCATGCAACAGCTTTGCGTTGACACAGGGAAACATTACATGGTTGAACGAGAAGGCATTGCAGGCATTGGAAGAGAACGAAGTTCTGTTTAAAAGGTAGGTTTACCAGGAACAGTGTGTAATCCACAGAGTATTTATTGACATTAACCTTTATTACTTATTTGTGTCGGAAAGAAATTGGCCACCATTTAATGACGAACCATAAACACTGTATTTAATGTAGTTTGCTACCTTAAAAACAAACTAAGAATTCATCGAAATCCAGCAAGAGAGGTTGGGGACTGTAATGTTCAAAATTTTGAAATAAAAATATATTGTCACCAAACTAAGTTTCCCATCAAACGACCTCAAACAATTAGTATCAAAAATGCGTATTTTAAGTGGTTTCCAATTGGTTGCTATGGCAAAAACATTCCATCATATCGGTGAACTATACTAGAAACGATCTGTAGTTTTATGCGGGCTACATATGGCTGTGACCCAAAAAATTGGAGAATTTTGAATATTTCGAATGGGATAATGTGTTTACCATGGAATCCTATGGAAAATGGCCGCCTTTTCGGGTTTTGTTTGCATAAGTTTTCTTGAAACGCACCTTTTAATATGCATGACTTGCATGTATGTGAATTATCACACAACAATTTCTTTTACTAGATTAAGAGTAGAACATAAGACACAACAACATCTGGTCAAAGAGTAAATGTTTATTTCACGTTTCGGAGTATGTGCAGCAATCTCCTTCCTCATAAACACCTACAGGCAAATAAAACAAAACACAACGAGTGAACAATGTATACAAATAGTAAGGTGATACAAAAATAAACATCAACTGATTGACCAGAGGTTATCAGTTCAACATTCTGCCGACATCTTTATCGATCCGTTTGCAAGTCAATATTTATTCACTGATACTAGTAGTGTAGTTTGTAGCTGCCACCCATCACCCCCATTACGCTCTTCTTGTCACACACATCAATGTCATCGAATGCTAATAGCTATGACCTTTACCAATATAGACGTTTTTTATCCTCGCAGTGACTTCCTGATGAAGAAATTAACATCTGGACCCAATGTTATTAAGATAGGTATGAACACTGCTGTATTTATAACTTTTTATTATGTAATTGCATTTATCGTCAGTTTTGTTTTCTTAAAGCGGGGAGTAGTCACCTGCACATGCGCCAGATGGCCATAACGTGCCATTGTTTACAAACAAGCGTCTACCCATGAGCCTTGTAGTTTTTAGCATGGGTTGTTATCGTCGCTTATGACTCAATTCCTGCGCGTGCGCAGGTGACGACGCTCCCGCTTTAACTGAGCAGTGTAAATAGTATATATTTAAACAATAATGAACGACCCACCAACCCATAATGGGCGAAAGCTCACTTTGTGCGACATATATGTACGAGGCGTGAGCCGAGTACATATATGGAGCACAAAGTGTGCTTGAGTCCATTATGCGTTGTCGAGGAGTTCATTGTTGTTATTATTTTGTAGCGTTCTCATTACCAGTGGATTTGCTGCCTCTAAAAAGCGGAAAAAATTGGAGAAAAATCTACAGTGAACGGAGTAGTTTCACAGTCACTGGCCCGTGAATCGGAATATTTTAAAATGTCTTTCTGGAAATTGTTTCCATAATCTCACATGGCAAACCATGGAACTATAAACCTATAGCTCCACTGGCAAACTAAGAAAGAAACTGATTTTAATCCATCAAATATTATTGTATTGAACTCATTTGCACCGCGAGTGAATGAGTGACTGATGTGTGGTGTGAAGTAACATTGCAGTGATCGCCCGAGCTAACGGCGCGCCGTGACTGGTACGTCGTATCGGTGTCCGCCGCGGCCTTGCACTACGCTACGCTGAATCGCCGGTGTGGTCCAGCTGGATCGACTGTGCGTAGGGGTACGTACCCGGGGTACATGCACGTAGTTGCATCGTTACCCCATCCCACTAGTGTTTTCAAACTATTAAGGTAGATATTATTAGCAACTGTCCTTTCTGTGTAAGAGTTATTTTAAATTCTACGACAGGGCGGGGATTTGACGTAAACCCGGCCCCCCACTCCCTATATTTAGGGGGGGCTATGCTTGTTCCCTCATTTTTTTGACCACCCCCCTCTCTAGGGAAAAGAAGAAAATTTAACCCCCTCTTTCATGGGCTTTTCCGATGAATTTCACCCCCTATCTAGGGAACTTTTCAGTCTAGAACTCCTTTTAAAACCCCCCCCCCCGGGAAGTGTTTTGAAATACACCCCCTATTTTGAGAATCTCGGGAAAACAAGCAAAAAATACCCCCTTTTCTTACGATTTTCTCGGGAAAATGTTCCCGAGACAGATCGTCAAAAAGTACCCTCTTTCCCGAGAAAATGGGAACGCGCATGCGGCCCCCTATGGATCCTGAGTGGGGGGGGGGGGGACGTAAACTTTGAAGCGGGCGAACGAACATGACCGGAAAGCTAGTTTGTGTTAGCCATCCTAGAAGGTGAACCAACAGTTATTTTAATCTCACTGTATAAATAAACAGATACACACCTGGGAACACGGGTACTTTCATTTATTTATGCAAACTGTGCCCGGACTGTTACATTTACCGGGAGTCGACGCTGAGATAATACAAGTCACGGCGGTCTTACGCCGGTCTTACGTCGATCTCGTTTCGCAAATTGTGTAGTACTACTCACTACAAAAACAGAACAAATTCATCTCTCTGGACTGGTAGACATACATTGTACCCCCATTTTGTTTATCGCATTTGCTTGGATAAATTATCCTCGGTTAACCTCACTTCATCAACACGATGGTAGACATACATTGTACCCCCATTTCGTTTATCGCATTTGCTTGGATAAATTATCCTCGGTTAACCTCACTTCATCAACACGATAGGGCGAACTAATGAGGAGACCACAAGGACAGCGCCATCAGTCGCGGAATCTAGAAGCGTGCGTACTAGATGGAATGCTTCGACCGAACGCGCGTTAGCGTACAGAGCAGACTACTTTCGTTTAACGTAATTGCAATATTTTTTTGTTCGTACAACGTAATCAATCAAATATTTTTTCGTACACTGTAAAAATGTGTCATTTTTCTCGGTACGTACAAGAATTTACATCCAAATAAAAATATCGTAAAAAATAATCCAGGGAAATTACATTTTATAGAAACTTTTATAACGACTAGATGACACAATCCACTACAAAATTGAATGTCAAGACGTAAAAGGCCCTCTAACCGAATGAAGAGCATTACGAGGGTAACATGCGCATGCGTGGATACACACGGCGCATTCAATGTTCCATATTTTAACACTGTAAACTGTAAAAACGTCTTTTTTTTATTGTAAATTGCAACAAAAAAAACTTTTTATTTCCCGTAAAACCGTACCAGCTACCTCCTTGCCTCCCCTCCTCACAATATTGTCTGATTTCGATATTGGAATTCGCTGTTATTGGTTATGGACCGTTTTATTTGATGCTATTTTTAGTATTAAATACTTGTTATCTGACTATTGCTTTTCTCTTTCAATAGTTTCTTCTTTATTCGTTTTCGAAAATAACATTGTATTCATATCCATGGGACAGGGCCTTGATGCTCAATAATGTAATACATTATCGCGAATAATCTGCTGCAATGACGTCATAAAATCCACTGGTATTGATAATGCTATAATATAATTACTTATAACTTACACGAATAACAGTATATGCATTTGTTTGCAGCGAACTCGCCACACGGAAGAGTTTACGAAGACAATTTACCATATTGTGAATCTGGGTTACAACAACCAATCACGTCAGGGTATTGGCAAGGAGACATCTGGCATTCATTATTATGCAAATTAACGCAGTGGCAAAAGGTACCAATGATCACAGTCAAGGAATGTTTACAAGGCAAAGATATGTACTTTCTTGGAGATTCCACCACTCGACAATTTTCCAACGTGGTTGTCGAATTGTTTGGACTTGGGTCAATCTTACAAAAACGCCACGCTGCCAGAACGTACCGAAAAGTGACTGAACCTACTTACAATATTTCCTTCACCTTTCAACACCATCCCTGGGCCGTTGGGGGCAGTCCTTATCCTATAAACGAAGTAAAATTTGAGGTTGACGTAATAGATAATTTACGGAGCGCAGAATGCAACTACGTGGTCTTAGTCGGACCATACGCACACTACACATCGTGGAGTCGCGAAAGTTACGTTGAGAGATTACAGTTACTCAAAGAAGCTTTACTTAGATTTAAACAACGATGTCCAGGAAGTGACGTATTCATAAAAGGTAGCAAACCACGTGACCATAATGTACTGACGTCATACATTCACAGTAACGATTTTTATTTGTTTGAAATGAACGTCCTAATGAGAAAAATATTCCACGGAATTGGCGCGATATTCCTAGATGTATGGGATATGAATTTATCCTATCCAGCTCCCAACAATATTCATATGCCAATGGAAGTGATACGCCAGGAAGTGAATACATTTTTATCGTATCTTTGTAAAATATAAACAATAAATATATACACTTGAGATATATGGTATGCCCATGGGCATAGATGGCATGTGCATAGACATAGGCGATTATATTACTTCCGGCATGTTTTTAAACTAGCTATTGGATATATTCTGATTCGTAATTGGAGCTTGTATGGTACGTAAAATAGTCATCCAAATTTACTAAGTTTGATGAACCAAGTAACAGGTTAATCAGTGAGGTAGTTATATGCACAATTATGTCAAGACAGTTTGAGCGGATAGACAATTAACATTTGGACAACTTAAATTGGTTGTAGTTTGTACATCATACACACACTACATAGTAAGCCACCATCACAACCGATACAAACAAACAAAACACTTGATGTTGATATAATTTATATAGATAATAATAGATACTTTGATTAGAACTAATATACGAAAATCGGATATCATTATCGTCGATTTAATTAATCTTGAATCGATTAAGATACAGCTACACAAACAGTGCCCATCTAGGTTGTTGCTACTGTTGTCTTCCACAGCCTGAATTCCTTGTGTGTGATGTGCTCTTAGCACCAGGCGCCGCCTTTCATACGGTGGATTTCTGGGGTGGGCGCAATTATCCCGGATGATCGCCATATTGCACGGATCCAGAGATTATATAAAATGTTCATAGAACCAGTGTTATACAAGCTTCGAGCATATACAATTATTAACAAGAAAGATTGATCGACCCGTTTTATAATTTTAAAATGCTATTCGAAATCACTAGTAGCAATGGTTTGTGTATGAAAATCGTCGGTATGCTGTATCAACGGTCTGATATGTATATGGTGAGGAATGGAATTTAATCAAAAAATGACACAATTAATCACACCAAGCTTTGAGTAAATTGATTTGAATAATTTTAAAGGAAAAGTCAAGACAAACAAAAGATTAAAGAGCTTAACAAATGTAGGAGAATGAAATTTACATATTTTTTATATCACTTTTCGATCTGATCAGTATTATGTAGTCCGCCATTTGATTCTCCAGAAAAGGATTATGGGTAAAGCGTGACATCATATCCATTGTTGTGACAAATTGAGAAAATACTTTAATCATCTGAAGAATCAAGATGGTGGATACATACATTGATGATAAGTTGAATATCTAGAGAATAAAAAGTGATATAAACAAAACTGTAAATTGCATTTTCTTATATTTGTGGAGCTCCTTCATTCGGGAGCATTATGTTGTGTATATTACATATATAAATGCATATTGCCCATCTAGCTAAGTCCGAAATGTAATGACGAGAATCACGAGTAAATTCGTTCAAGACTGGGCAGCTCAGACAAGGCAAGGTTAAAGCGCCACAATCGTGCAATGCTTTAATCAGTAATATACATTGCAAGCATTTGAATCTAATTGTTTTTTTCTAAACGTGGGTAAACGTGTGGGGCGTCGAGACAGTATTGAGTTTGTCATGTCATATCTGTTAGAACCAAAATGTAGATTTATTTATTGTTGTTATTTAAGTCGTCACAAAATAATAAAGTATGCACTTCATTATACAACTATGCTTTATGTATGTAATTTGGTAGTATTACCTGATGAGCGAATAGCGCCTCTAATGGCAGGTTTTGGCAAGCCAGGGTCAGAGGTCAGTGAATGATGGGTGACAGAGAAAGTTGTGTGTGGAGTTCCGCCAAATTTACTTTATAACTGCCATCGAGCACTCCTAATCTTGACTGGTTGAAAGCCACAGAATTGCGTTGTACGCTAGGTCAATCTATACATACGGTGAGAATACCATTTCTTGCAATTTGCCTTGTTTTATATGTACTGAGACTTTCCATGCTGCTCGATTACAAGATTATGATGTAATGACTTACATTGGCCGTAAATACTACATCATTAAGTTGTGTTTGATCGATTAATTTAAAGGCTATTTACAACACCATCCTTGTTGACATGTTGCATTTTAATGCTTTTCAAAATTCAGCATTTATGTCAGATTTATGTCGCTCTGCATGAGTTTTTACTGTACGGATTCAGTGAAATGTGAATTTACCCGATTGGGGCACTGTCGTTCAAGTCGTGTAGTATGCTGTATTTTACTCTATGAAATGTTTCGCATGTACAGGTATTTGCTTAGTCATTGTTCATGCGATACTGAGATTGGAATAAATTAATCATCAAGGCCTATTTGTATTTGTTTCAGCCATTTGTATGAGACAATTTGGTGAGAAACATTCTAGTATCAGTGAACATTTCATTGGTAACATCACATGTATATTCGACCCCAGTAATCTTAGAGTTTGTTCATAGTTGCACAACGGACAGAGGTGTAACAAGCTATGTGAGCAGTTAAATAGAAAAACAGGTCAAGTCCTACAATTAATGATAGATGAAGCAGATCTGAACTCATCACAAAAGGCTTGCAAATACTGGATGGTGATATATGAGGACCTTTTAATTAGTCATCAGCAAATGCTTTCCTTTGATGACCAACATGCAGATAACCAGGGTTGCTTCAAAACCATAATGAGTCCGTCCTATAGTTTAAAGTGAAAGCAAGAGAGTGGATACAAAGAAGGGAGCCCAAGACAGCAGTTTTGTAATGTACACATAAAGCCAGAGAGGACAGTGCTTCTCAAGTGAGTACAAATTCAATGCATTTTAAGAAAACCATCAGCACTATCTCATAACTTAGTAGTTTGTTTGCAAAGGATATGGAGGACCAAATTTGATGGTGACATGGACGAAAGTCCATGCATGTTGAGTACCATACTGGTACCAAGGTAACAAGAAAGACTTTGCGGCTGTTGTTGCAGCTATAAAACCAGATCATAATAAAGATGATGTGTATTTCAAAAGCCAGAATGATCTGATTTGCAGTCATCACGTGATCAATCTGAAGTCTCTGTGAGAATGGCATTTGAAAAACCCTGTGTCTACCGCAAGAATAACAATCTCAGTCTTATGATGTTAAACTAAAGTTTTTGAGAACCAGTTTAGCGTACTGTGCAAATGAAATCACTCATTTACATACGTTTGAAACAAATCGTATCAATTTGATCCGTCAAGGACCAGAAGTTAGAAATCCGATTGAGCTGATGACTCATCTAGAGATCTCCGTGATGATGATACCCTTCGCACAAAGAGATGTTTGAGTGGTTCTCAGTTCATTTGGAGAACAGAATCAATATGGCCTCTCTCTGTGTTTATCCCAGATGCATTCTTTGATTGTCAACACGCAGACTCGTATATACATGTTATCGCACTTTTAGTGCACACTCGCGTGATACTGACAATTGTATTAATGCTCTTCGAAAATTTAAGTCAAGAGAGCCTGTGTCAAATCCATCAGATGAGACAGTCGAGCCAGCCTTGGGGGGGGGGGGGGCAATACTTGTTGCAGGAAAACATTGGTAAATGAAATAAAACACAAATTTGGCAAAC